CAATGTAAATATAAATATAAGATATTTACCATATATCCCAGGAGCTATCAAACACAGAAACTATGAACTTCTTAACTTACCAAGGAGGTTATCAAATACATAAACCATGAACTTCTTAAGTAACTTTTAATTTACTGTTATTCAGAAACTTCCAACTTACACTTCATGAACTTGCTTTCAGTTATCAAACAGATCGTTAGGATACTTAAATGTTTTTATTGTAGATTGCATATTTCTCATGTTTTGATCCAAATTTTAGGACTAAAAGGTATTTCCACCGGTATATTTCAAGCCAAAAGTAAAGAAATCTGCATGATATTATCTGTATCCTGCCGAATTGATTTCTAGCCACATTTCCATGTTATGGAGACGTCCAATTTATAAAATACAATTAATTATACAAAAACACCCCCATGAATTAGAGAGAGAAACCATCTTGAATTTTATGTTTTAGAGATAAAAAATATCTTAAATTTTTAGAGAGAGAATTATTTCAAATTTTAAGTTTTAGAGAGCGAAAACATATTAGAATTTTGGAGAGATAAACTATATCAAATTTTAAAAAGAGAAGTACCTAAAAAGGTTTCTAAAAGAGAAACTATCTCAAATTTTAAGTTTTAGAGAGAAAAAAATACTTGAAAATATATAAAGAGAGCTATTATCTCGAGTTTTACATTTTACAAAGAGAAAGTACTTGAAAATTCTTATAGAGAGAAATACTTGAAAATTTTTATATAGAAAATTTATCTCAAATTTTAAATTTTATAAAGGGGAAATACCTCGAAATTTTGATAGAGATAAACTAGCTCAAAATTTTTAGAGAGAAATTATTTTAAAATTTTAAGTTTTACAGAGAGAAAATATCTTAAACGTTTAGAGAGAAACTATATCAAATTTTAGATAAAGAAGTACCTAAAATATTTTAGAGAGAGAAACTTCTTAAAATTTTAAAAAGATAAACTATTTCAAATTTCAAGTGTTAGAGAGAAATATTTTAAAATTTTTCGAGAGAGAAACTATCTCAAGTTTTTTTAAAGAGATAAATTATCTCAAATTTTAAGATTCAGAAAGAGAAAATACCTAAAAATTATAGACATAAACTATCTCAAATCTTTCCTTTCTTAAACCTATTACCCTCAAATCATTAAATAAGAAAAGTATAGCTCTTATTTAGTATATTCATTCTTTATTTTTTTAATCAAGCAATCTTGATTCATAAGAAATACTAAATATTTGAAATATTTGATTTTATTGTGCAAGTTGGCATCATCTAAAATAAGAAAGCCAACTTGCATGGGATAATCATCACCACATTAAAAAAATTTGTACGACCCTTTAGTAGCCTCTTATGGACCCCACCCAAATTCCACATGCATTAAATATGCATTTATATTTTATGGAGTGTCCACCCAAATACCATGTGTTAAATGTGCCTCTGTATTTTTTGGAGAGTCCCATATAAGTTTTAAAAAATATTTTATTTTGAATTTAAAATTTTAAATCTCATAATTTATTTAAAATATTGAAAAATAACTTTTTTTTCATTTATAAATTCAAATGACAAAAATAAAATATCAGAAGATTTAAAAAAATTGAAATAAACATTTTAAAAAATTATATAACATAAAATTAATTAATTTTGATTGGAATTGGATTCGTCTAGGTCTAGGAATTTATCAATAAATTGGAGCACTCGACCTTCAACTGTAGGTCACGATCCACCTAGCTTCGTTAAACTGACCTAGCAGTTCTCATGACCCACAGTCCACTACAGAAGCTCATGATTTGACTACCAAAGTTTCCCAATAGACCAGAGGACGTAATCTCAGTTTATGAATTTTAGGTTCTCCTCTAAAGACTTATCATGGTCTGTCAGACCATAATGCAACCATATATACACGCTTCACCCTCTATGGTGACTTGAGGGTGAATCTCAACACGACTATTTATATATATATCGTGTGATGATATAACGATGAGGTTTTAGCCATGTCTCTAAAGGTTATTCATCATACACAAGGGTTACACAGTCCCCCATCTCTCATCCGGGTACGCTCCGACCTCATCAAGGGCTAACTATATCAAAATTTAAGTTTTATAATGAGAATGTACCTGAAAGTTTTTAAAGAGAAACAATCTCAAAACTTTTAGAGAGAGAAGCCTTATCAAATTTTAAGTCATAGAGAGAGACACTATCTCAAATTTTAAGTTTTAGAAGGAAAGTACCTGAAAATTTTTAAGAGAGAGAGTATCTCAAAAATTTTAGAGAGAAAAACTAACTTAATTTTTTAGTTTTAGAGAGAAACTATCTTAAATTTTTAGCGATAAACAACATCTCAAAGTTGTAGTTTTTGAGAGAGAAAGGACCGAAAAATTTATAGGGAGAGAACTATTTAAAAAAATTAGAGAGAGAGAGAAATTATCTCTAATTTTAAGTTTTAAAGAGAGAAATTACTCAAAATTATTTGAGAGAGAAACTATGTCAAATTTTAATGCTAGAAAAAGAAAATACTTGAAACTATTTAGAGAGATAAACTGCTGTAAAATTTTTAAAGAGAGAAACTATCTCAAATTACAAGTCTTAGAGAGGGACTCCCTCAATTTTTTTAAAGAGAAACTACATCAAATTTTAGAGAGAGAAACTATCTCAAAAAAATTTTAGAGAGTGCAAGTAACTGAAAATTT